TAATTCGAGGGCAGCCCTGCAGGGGCCGGGTGCTGCTGGCGGCTGCGGGTGCAGGAGAGCTCTACTAGGGAAGCCCATACATGGGGCGGCCTGCGCCTTTGCAATTGATGAAGCAACTCCCTAAGCTAGGTCCAGCACTACTCTAGCTGGCGGCTCGGTGCGCCTGCCCAGAGGGCAAGTGGTCCAGTGGGTTGTGCCTGGCCCAGGAGAGCGCTGGGCCCGGCCTGCACACGTCCCTGCGGCTGCGGGTGCAGGAGAGCTCTACTAGGGAAGCCCATACATGGGGCGGCCTGCGCCTTTGCAATTGATGAAGCAACTCCCTAAGCTAGGTCCAGCACTACTCTAGCTGGCGGCTCGGTGCGCCTGCCCAGAGGGCAAGTGGTCCAGTGGGTTGTGCCTGGCCCAGGAGAGCGCTGGGCCCGGCCTGCACACGTCCCTGCGGCGCATGAGAAACGAAGTGGGGGGGTGCCCAGCCGTGGGCCAGCAGTAGGGCGTCTGGAGAGAGAAATCCGTCGCGATGTTAGCGAGCCTGCGAGTCCTCCTGAAGGTCAAAGCTGCCCCCTCGCCCTCCAGGCTGCTCCAGAGAGCCGGGAACTCCCCGGTCCCAAGCACTGAAGGGGAGGGGGCCTGCTGCAGCCACTTGGGGCCTCCCAAGCCAGCTGTGTGATGGGGTGACCCTGCGGCTGTCAGCTCCTCCCATCTCCCCTGCTTGTTTTACCATGTGGCGGCCGTGCCTAGGGGACATCACAACCCTCCCTGTAGGAATAACAGTACAAGGGCCCAGCCCTTCCGCGCGGCCCACGGCCACACGATCCCCTTCCTCCCTCCCTCCCGGCAGCGCTGCGAGCGCCCTGGGGCGCCCAGGTTGTCTCCCCCTCTGCTCCCCAGCCGCCTACCTCCTAGGGCCCGACGGGAGTGTCCGAGAAGACTGAGCTAACGGAGTCTGAGTCCGACTTGATCTGCAGGAGCTTGGGATTCTTGGCAGCCAGCCCGATCGTACCGCTGGTGGGCTCAAGGAACGCCACGTGCCTGCTGCTGCTGATCTTGCGGCTGGGCCCGTCGGTGGCTGGGGGGGTGCTCAGGATGGAGGACTGCGCGCTGCATTCCTGGGGAGGGCTGGGCGCAGCCGCTCGCTTGCCGCCTTGGAAGCAGTGGCAGGGAGTCAGGTACAGGTACATGAGCACTAGCACCAGGCTCACCACGCAGCCCAGGAGGGTGGTGAGGCCGGTGCTGAAGGACTCCCCGTCCAGCGTGGGATAGCGGATGGTCACGTTGACTTCGTGCGTCTTGTGGAGCTGGTGGTGCTTGCCGAGGGCCATGCACACGTACACCCCGGCGTGCCACGGCGCGGCTGCGCTGATCTTCAGGCTGCCGTTGCGGTAAACTTCAACCGTGCGATTGCTGTTGCCAGGGGGCATGATCGGCTCGTGGCGCGGTGAGACCCACAGGTAGGCGGGCGTGGCGGGCGTGCTCACGTTGCAGTTGATGAGCAGCGGGTCTCCGACGAGTGCCGTGGCGTGTGTCTCGGGGGTGCCCGGGGGCGCTCGGCTCTGCGAGCAGTTCTCAAAGATCTTCTTGTACTGGAGGAACCTCACCAGGGAGCGTGCCCTGGTGTCGGACGCCACGCACGTGTGTTCCTCCAGGAAATCCTGCACGGAGCTGAGCTGCTGCTCCTGCCACTGCCAGAATATCTGGTAGAGGGAGCAGTCACACCGCACGGGATTGTTGTGTAGGTACAGCCCGTTTCTGATGGACGCAGGCAAGGCTGCGACCTCCTCGACGGGGATGCTGCTCAGGTGGTTGGTGGAGAGGTCCAGCGTGGTCAGGTGGGGGTGCGTGAGCCCCTGCACGGCGCGGAAGGGGAAGCGGGTGAGGTTGTTCCAGCTGAGGTAGCCCTTCCGCAAGCTGCGGAGCCCCACGAAGGCTCGCTCGTCCACGCGCAGGAGCCCGTTGTTGTAGAGCAGGAGCTCCTCCAGGCGCAGCAGCCCCTCGAAGTAATGCGGCTCCACGGCCCGCAGGCTGTTGGAGGACAGGTCCAGGTGGGTCAGGGCCGTGGCGTTGTGGAAGGCCTGCGGCGGGAGGGCGGCGATGAGGTTGTGGCTGAGGCGGAGGGCCTGGAGGCGAGGCAGGGCTGCCAGCCAGCGCCGGTGCAGCTGGACGAGGGCGTTGTGACTCAGGTCCAGGGCGGTGGCCGGTGGCGGCAGCCGCGGCCGCCGC